GCGCGATGTTCAAAACGTTCTCTGCTCACTCCAGCCAATGGGCCGCGTCCGAGGAGCAGCGTGGCCAAGTTCGCACAGAGTTGGCACAATTGGAAGCACAGGCGAACACGCTGAATCGTAGGGCTCATGCTGATTTCAATGCTGTTAAAAATCGGGTTTGAAAATCCATTTCGGTGGGTAGGTGCCTTATATAGACCAAAGTTTGTAATTGACTATGCACCTTGTGACACTAGCTTGCGCATGCATAAGACAAAACATGTGACACCACGGATCTTCCCAACTGCACCATTCTGGCTGGCAGGCTCACAAGCTGGAATGTCAAGGTGGATTGTTTGGGGGGATGGCACAGAACGGCACCCATCACATTACTGGCTCATGGTATGGCTGAGATTTTCGGCTAGACTGGCAACAGCTGGACAAAGGCAAACCAGAGTATCGCGTTCCCATCCTGTCCCATGCCTACTGTGGAACATGTTCTGCTGCAAGAACTACCTTGAGTTTGCAGCTTGAGTGAAACAGTTTGTGCTACAACATTGCAGTCATCACGAAAGGTAGCCCTTTAGGGGATACCTTGAGTTTGTCTTGCGAAGCAAGTGTTGGCGCGTCCGGGTCTAATAATTGATCATTCAATTCACCCCCCCCCCCTCGAATTGATTTCTCAATACAGACCCCCCCCCCGCCCCCTTGCCGACCCCCGCCCTCTAAATTCAATTCTCTCCTGGAGAACGTCTTCGTGAGCCTCTCATGATTTCAGGATAGTTGAAACCCTCTTGAACATTCAGATGAAATTCTAATCACGAAAGGTGTTCCCCGAGGGGATACATACCTAGAGTTTGTTTTGTGAAGCACGTCAATTCTCTCCTGAGGAACGTCTTCGTGAGCCTCTTATGGTTTCAGGATAGTTCAAATCCTATGATGCTCCGATTCAATGCTCACCGATGATCTGAGCCATGGGGCAAGTTTGTTTTCCTAAGAATCTTTTTGAACATTTCGAGAGCATATTGTTGAACATTTAGAGTGCGTATGAAATTATATTCACGAAAGGTCGCCTCCGAGGGGATAAATCATCATGTCGAACATTGCATTTTTGTTCCTGCCTCTCGCGTTCTCTTCTCTTCCCGCTGTCCTACCTTTCGTGTCTCCCTCCTCTCAAGTACTACAAACCCAAACTACAGAGTCTGGTCAACACGGACAGAGAGTGTGAGTTTTTGGACACGCATGCAACAGATCTCTGGACTGGAAATGACGCTGGGAGATTGCAGATTCCTCCCAACACAAACTCCGTGGTCAGCCTACTGTACAGTAATACACATTTGTGTAGCGTTCGAAGTTCGATGATGTAATCACTCATCATTCCAGGCTCACAAGTCATGTGCAATTCAAGAAGCTTCTTCCATTGATCATGTACTACTCGTACCACCGGATGTACTCAAATAACATATTTGGATAAGAATGTCTTATAGAACATGGCCTATGTTGCCCTTTGCTCTCTTTGGACACCAAACCCGACGTATTGCATGCAGAGGCGTCGACAGCGTCTACACCGGTGACCTGGACAGTGGCAAGGCCGAAAAGCTCGTTCCGATCAGACGGGTATCGCAAAGAGATCTCAATTTTGCCGTGGAAGAGGCAGAGAGTGAGAGAGAGAGAGAGAGCGAGAGAGAAGAGGAATGGCAAATGGCCGTTGGACAATCCCAAACTTGTACAGCTGGGGCAAGCATGGACAAGCAGTTTGTTCAAGCATAGTTGCTGGTCACTTTGGTTTTAACTTGAGTTCCCTTTTTTCTGAAGCAAACTCGAGCACCATCAGAGTTGCGCGAGATGGCATCGTTTATATTTGGAGTCACCAAAATCATGATGTTTGAGAATAGATGAGAAGGAACTGTACTTGCTGCACACCAAAGTAACAACGCAACCAATTGCCAGACACATTAGCTACACAAACCATTTTAATTTCCTAAAAAGTCTAGGAACCAAATCATTGCAGTAAGATCTTGGCCAGCCCGCGTCCGATCGGTAGTAGCTTCCTAGCTTAGTAGCTTACTTCCTGAACCTTGTTACAGTAGCTACTTGTAAGTTACCACCTGGCAGCCTACCCCCCTAAGCAAAAAAGTAACACCTACATAAACCTAGTTGCCAGAACTCATGACTGTTTGACCTTCGGAGTCACTTCTCATCTTCTCGTAGGCAGATGCCAAGGATCTCAAGAAAGCCTTGTCCGAGACCGAGTTGCTTCGTGCTCGTCTATGTCAACGTCAAAGGTTTGATACGGCCGCCGCCTGGGCAGTCGCAGCGTTGCCGTTGCCAAGTCCTAACGTACTCATTTAGGTCACAGTCCGAGGTCTCCCGCTCACCACCTTGCTTGCAGAGTGGCCGCACGTTCTTTTAAGACTGTGGATATTCTATCATATTGTGTGTTCCCTTAGGACCCTTTACATGATTTCTTCCTACACCGGGAAGATTAACATGGAACCTGAAAATGGACCTTTGGAAGACTATTTAATTTCCTCTACAAGCCAGTGGTTCTCAGGTTCCATGTTAATCTTCCAGGGCGTAATTGAAAAACATTATCCAACCCGTCGTATGGTTGGATAAACTTCTCCACCCTTTGGGCTGGGTGACTCCAGCCCATGGCTCATCATGGCTCGTATTTTCTCTAAGGTTGGGCCGCTTAGAGAGCGTCTTGGAGATGATCGAGCAGACCTTCGGGCGTTTGAAGATGTGACCTGAGCGCACATCGGTCGTGACGGGAGTCCGGGGGTATTGAAAGACAGGGGCGAGGCAAGAGCGGAGCATGTGGAGTTCGGGAAATGGAGTAATCTTGGCCTTGGTTTATCTTGCTTAGTTTTGGGATGCTGACAGAGGTCGTCTACCACTTGAACTATTTTGAACTCAAGTATATTTCTGTTTGGGTCGTAAGATATGGTTAGTATTCCCAGGGAGCTGCATCGAACCGGATGGCTGTGGTTGTCCAACCACGCACGTCTGCCCATCACACTAGAGTACTCCTTGACTTATTGCGAGGGCATCCCAGGCCAGAAACATGGTCCTAATGTGCAACGAGTGTTTGAGAGGCCAGCTCCGTGTAGCTCCAGCTAGCCCTCCTACCCCTACTTCATGTGTTGGATCATTTTGGGTAAGCAATCATGTGTATTCTGCAGGTGAGCAACGTTCTGAAGGGTCTGTGCACAAATCTGTATGTGAGAGGAGCTACTTTATTTGAATCATCCAAAAAACCTGTAAAGCGATATAGTGACCCGCCAAAAGCGATACCTTCACAATGTACACTTCAATCATTTGCTTCAAATCTACTGTGCAACCTTGTCAGACGAAATCTCTGGAAATCCGTTTCTTGGCTTTGTTTTCGCTTTACATGAAGCAATACCAAAGCGATAAGCCCGGATGATCAAAATGTGGTCTAGATGAGCGGATCCCCTTTCGTATCATGTTTGTTTCATTTTTGCATGTGTCAATGGAAAGCTATTTGCCTCTCTCTCTTCTCTCTCCCTCTTTCTTTATTCTGTCGTCTTTCTGTCTTTCTTTTGTTCCTTCTTTGTTTCTGTCCTTCTTTCTTTATTTCTTTCGTTTGTTCGTTCGTTACTGTATTTCTTTCTGTTTATATTTCTTTATTTCTTTCTTTGTGTCTTTCTTTCTTTCCTTCTTTCTTCCTGTTGTTTTTTCCCACTACCCATATCCATGTGTACTTCACTTTGGCTATGTGTTCAAGAGAAATATGACAAAGGAATCCGAAACACTGTAAAGCGATATAGCGACCCCCAAAAGCGATAGCAACATATGGAGTTCCACAAATGTGCTCATAGGTTTTGGCGATCTATCAGATGGTGTTGAGGGGTGAAAAGGTTTCCTACGTCACCTCACACAGAATACGCATACTCCAAAATGTATCCAAGTATTTGCAGAGTTTTGGTGTGTGCAAGATGGTGCAGGATTTTGTGCATCTCAGAACTTAGACTTAGACAATCCCAGCTGCTCTCAACCAGTATCATTGAATTTACAGGTACTGCAGAAGAACTGTGCCTCCCCGGGTGAAGAAAACCGAAGACATATGGCATTGGTTTACATCAACGTACAGCCAATCAACATGAAGAACCCTTCCTGGTACTGAAAAAGTACAGTAATCGAAGTCAATTATAGCATGGCTTGGGAAGAAGCAAGCGTGTCCTCGATGCAAGCAATGTCGGGTGTCCACGACTTGCTGCGCATAGCATCAGGCCCGTGAGCCCTTGAGATGTTTCACCATTGGATCACGGGCTGTGAGTGAGGCCACTTTGAAGCTGTCATGTGAAGCCCTCATCAAGGGGCCTCACCCTGAAGGTCCAATCGTCCTAGATTTAACACTTAGAGGCTGTGCCGAACAGAGTGATAGGATTCTTTGCCGATCCTCATGGTCCGGAGCTGACTTGGGAGGCTGCGGGCCGGCTTTTTGGCAACCTGGGCGAACTCCTTGGCACAACTCAGGTGATATTCTACTATATCGGGCTATATATATAGATGCTATTTATGTCTCTAAAATTGACTCTGGGTTTGTTGGAGCGATTTGGTAAATGCTGCGTGTGCTGAAAATTCCATTTGGACCTTTGAGTAGGTAAAGGCCGCCTGAATACTCACTGGGAGCCTTTGGCACAAGTGCCAGGGCCTTCGGTGAGGCTTGATCTACGGTCTCACCCTTGATCCGGTGATTTTGCGACAAAATGCAGCTTTTGCGGCATCGGAATGGATGCTTACGTGCTTCAGTGTCTCAGAAGACCCAATTCTTTGACATTCTTTGAGTACACCGTGCTTACGCAATAGAAGCTCTCTACAAAGTGATAGTCTAAATTGAAATAAGATGAAATAAGCTGTTTGCATAAGCTGCTTGAACTGTCTTGAAGACTTGAGATGTCATTTACCTCGATTTACCTCATGAATGCTATGGCAAAGATACCAATATGCATGAGGCCCACAACTCATGTCGTGTTCATCGTGTTCGCCCCTCGCAGGTGCCAAGAATGCGTGCATCTTTAAGACAAGCCCAAGGTGGTCCAAGAAGAAGTCAGATGAAGGTGAGATTGAGAGCCGAGTAGTTTGTTCAGGAAGAGTGCCGAGTGGGCCGAGTGGTCAAAGTTCAGGTCTTCCCTGAAGAGAGCATTTGCTCTATCCACTTTTTTGGCGCGTGCTCGTCATTGCTTGTGTTTGAAAGGGCATGTCCAATCATCAGCTCATGGGATCAGAGTGTCGCAACATAGGCGTGCATATTCCAGAGTGGTAAGGAAGTCTCAAAGAGTATGCCGTTGGCCCCCTTCGTTCCGAACAGGCCCGGCTGTTTCCTTTCGCATCCGTATTGAAAGGCTCGGAACCAGTGCTAAGCATGCGTGCATCGCTTCTTCATCCCATGCGCTTGGAGGCCAAAATGGATTTGGCTGACCTCCCTGCCATACTTGAAGACATTGTCACATTTCATCGTACTACAGTATATATATATATATATGTATATTATGAGCGTCGTTCAAAAACCCACCTCTTCCTTGTTAGTAACCGAATTTCAAAGGCTGATTTCGATTGTGCTCTCACTGCAGTCGCGAAAGGTTCGCGAAGGTCCTGCGAAAGGTCTGCGCAAGTCATGTTGGTGACCTGGCCACGCTGCAAGAACAATTGCTCTTCAGACTTCCGATTGCTTTTTCCCGGGTTGGGAAAAAGCAAATTGGAAATCTGAACCATTTTGCTTTTTCCCGGCCCGGGAAAAAGCAAATTGGAAGTCTGAGCCTTTTGCTTTTTCAAGGCCTGGGAAAAAACAAATTGGAAGTCCGAACCATTTTGCTTTTTCCCGGGCCGGGAAAAAGCAAATTGGAAGTCTGAACCATTTTGCTTTTTCCCGGGCTGGTAAAAAGCAAATTCGAAGTCTGAACCATTTTGCTTTTTCCCGGGCCGGGAAAAAGCAAATTGGAAGTCTGGCAACTTTGCTTTTTCCCGGGCCGCCGGGAAAAAGCAAATTGGAAGTCTGAACCATTTTGCTTTTTCCTGGCCCGGCAAAAGCAAAATGGAAGTCTGAACCATTTTGCTTTTTCCCGGCCCCGGAAAAAGCAAATTCGAAGTCTGAACCATTTTGCTTTTTCCCGGCCCGGGAAAAAGCAAATTCGAAGTCTGAACCATTTTGCTTTTTCCCGGCCCGGGAAAAAGAAAATTGGAAGTCTGAGCAAACTGGTCTGACTGAGCCGTCTCTTGTTCATGGAGGGTTGCGCCCAACCAAAAACACACCAACATGAAAATGTCTTGGTTGGCTGGCTCCTCAGCAATCAATGTGTCAGTGATCAGAGGACACAAGACGTGCCAGGGCAACTGCATGAATCCTTGAAAGCCTCTAGCCCCAACGAAAAACCATTTTCGCCGACAGTGGTAAAACCCCACGCGCGAAAGCTTGCGAAAGCTTCGCGAAGGTCCTGCGAAAGGCCTGGAAAAAAAGAAAGGACTTTTGAACAACCCCCGTATATATATATAATGCAAAGCGAATTATCCTTTAGTACCTAATGTGGTGTGGCCAGAAAGGAAGGAGAACCTGCATTCGGGTCATCCATTTGCCACAAGGCTCTTGGTATTTGTGGGCTTGCTGTGCTGCCAATGTTTCCATAGGTCCTGGGCCTGGGAGCTACCGCATCGACCAGGAGAGCAAGGGCCCGAGGATTCAACTCTTACAATCCACTACCATGGTATTTCCTCGTTCCCTTTGCTCCGCAAGCACGATCGTGTCAATCCAAGAGATTGATCGTGAAATAGTGGTGACAGCAGACAGAACCTGGTGAGTACGAAGAATCTTCCTCCCATCAACCACGCATATATAGTTTCCTATCAAACAGACAGTCTGAGTGTAGGCTGCAGTGGAAACGAGCTCAGGCAAGCCCAAGCTGGGCAAGTTGGCTCCTAGATGTTCTCCGCCAAGTCCAGGCGTTGCTTTGCATTCTCCGCACTTGCGGCCCCGCCCCGTTGGAGCATTTGGGGGGTTCCCACAGGCACCAGGTCACCAGTCACCCGTGCGAGAGAGTTGCCAGGCATCTGTAGGACACAGTGTTGGCCACTTTTCCTGGGACTGTGTGCTTTCTGCAATACGAACTTCGAACACATGTTGGTGAGTTCAACTACCACATGGCCTAAGAATGCAAGGAAGAGCTCATTCGCCGGGCCTATCCGGGGCCTGCCGTCCACAGATTGTGTTTTGTTCATAAATTAAATGTATGCCCTCATGATGGCTCAGACTTTCTTAGCTCCCAACAAACCACTGCCAGATGACGAGAGCGAGGGCTTCGTTCCCGGCCCAGACTACAAGGCCCGGCAGAGCGGAATCTGAAGAGGTCAAGATTGCTGGGGGCAGCATCCCACATTGCATATGAACATATTACCAGTATATAAGCTGATATAAGCTGCACAGATTATGTAGACAAAATTAAAGCTTAAATTGGCAATGAATCAAGGATGAACAGGCTTGTTCTGACTTTGAAGCTTTTGGGGGTCTAAAACCTTCGTTCTTTTGCAAGCCGGGGGGTGACCAGCACATGTTGTCATGAATGCCGAGAGCTTTGTCAAAACCTCGGTGCTCATAGCAGGGAGGGCCTGGACATATGCGTAAGCTGATTTGCGCAAGGTTATGCGAGCAATTTCTTGCTGAAGCACCAGCACAAGCAAAGCGCGTAAGCTTTACTTTTCCATGTGGTTACTCTACATGTGTGTGTGCTTCGCATGTTGAAGCTTTTGGGATAATTGGAACCAATGAACATGTTGCAGGAGGTTTGGAATGCAATTCATTCCCTGCAGGTACGTGTTCATGCTCACGATTAAAATGCTGATTGTTTTTAACAATGCTCACAAGCTCAAAGGTCTACACTCTTTTCCCCGAGTACTGAGATTTCGAACGTTTCGGAACGAGCGAGACTCGAGTGATGTCCCGTTGACCCATTGGTCAATGAAGCCAAAAGACAGAGACTTTTAAGAGATCTCACATCTCACCAACTCCCAAATTCTGGGGGTGCCTGGAGCAAAATCGCAAGGGCCTCGAGCTGAAAAAAGGGTCAATGGCTTTTGCGCAACACTGCAAGTGGAGAGACAGGCCATGTGCCTGGGGTCAGGAACCACCAAAGATCAGGAACTGAGATCAATCTTCCGAGGCGGTTTGTTGGGAGGCCGTACAGTTTGTCATTGCTTGTAGCTGTTGCATCTGGAGTATACTGAAGAATTGTGCTTCCTGTAGGCCATAGAGTCTATAGTCTGAGTCCTTTGCAAAGAAACATCCTTGGAAGGTGGGGCTATCATCAAATCAGGAAGAACTGCTGTGGGAACGTGTCCGTATTTGGTTGGTTTCAGGTGCCACATCTCTATATATCAACCTTTACCATACCTGCTTGCATCTTGCCAAGTGTGAAGCTATGTGAAGTTCTTTACGCAGCTGCCTGATTGTGAAACAGTGTTTCGAAATCTTTCCAGCAATCTGTGTCATGCACAATCGTGCATGCTGCTGTGGATACAGATTCTCGATCAACCGCTCGCAGCTGTAGCATTGAACGAGATGTCGGAGCATCGAGTGCAGCATCGAGTCAGTCTAGCCTAGCTTCCGCAGCCTAACAGAATCGCCTCGCAAACCTTGTTCACTTCATTTCACTTCGCATACTAATCCTGGAGCTTGCCCCCACATCGCAAGTTCCGGGCAGGCTGCAAAGCTTGATCTGTAAGGGTGAAAAACTGATACAACCCGAGGCTTTCAGGGGATCTGCAGGTCATCTTGGGTCCTGGATCGTTCGATCGCAATGCCGCAGCCGAAGAAACTCTCGGCCCCGTTGCCCGGGGCCTTGGACCGAACGTCGACGGTCCAAGCTGTGCAATTGAGCCACGTAGGAACAGCCAGCCAAAGTTGAATGGTGACTAACGGCCGAAATCCAGTCACGGAACCCAACCAATGAGTGTTCATTTCCGAGGTCTATATAACATGCCCCACATACAGCTTTAAAGTCGCTGGGTCACAGAGTCGCCTCTGAGGAACATGGCCCGTGGTGACGATGAGAGCGCCAAAACCCTAGCGCCACATGAATAGCTTGAGACAAACATCCAGAATGTCTCGATGAAACGCATCATAAAGCATCTAAAAGTAGACGCTAGAGACTCTGAAAGATTTTGGAACCCACAGCTGGATTTGAGTTTCACCCTCTCAATGTTGAAGCTACATAGATGTTATATAGATGTTGTTGGGTGATGTGAGAAGGATGTTAGATGTCCTTTTTTACTTGTTACTTGTTGCTCATCGGACCCCACTGGTTGGGATCGGTTTTGTGCCCTCCGGTGCGAGATGGACCTTCACCGCTGGCTGCGGCACGTGCTGGCAGAGCATCACCGCGGCTTGGAGCAGCGCCTCGTGGAGCTGCGGGAAGGCGAAGCGGACGGTGGTGGTTCCATAGCAATGGCCTCCAACCTAATAGCGATGGCCTTCAACCTAGAAGCAATGTCCTGCAACCTAGAAGCAATGGCCTCCAACCTAATAGCAATGGCCTCCAACCTAATTGGGATGGCCTCCAACCTAATAGTGATGGCCTCCAACCTACAAGTTCCCTTTTTTCACCCTTGGATGTTTCTCTGCAAGGAAGTGGGTGTTTGTGGCTGTTGACTTAAGCAGTGAGGATTTGCTTGATATCACGAGAGGGTGCGATCTCAATGTTTCGTCTCTGGGCCATGCTGGTCCCACAGCTTGATCAAAGCACCCAACAGCCACAGAGTTCGTGTGAAGACAGTGATCCCGAGCGATCCACTTTGAGGGATGAGTTCAGACTTCGCAGGGAGAATCTCTGAACCAAGATTGAATGACAATCATTTCTTAACACTAAGCAAAGTAGATCGACCTTCTCCTTTCCTTCCTGTGGAAAGAGCAGCAAGGCTTCTTCATACTGGAAGTAACATAAGATCTCGTCTCAGCTGGAGGTCCAAGAATCTCCAACCTGCATTTGCCATCAAGACCACGCAAGCATACGCAGGGTACAGCCGTAAACCATAGAAAGAACATGAAATAACCATGCTCCAGTGACTCCAGTGATGATATGTGCGCGCCCAATGCGTTTCCCACCGTTTGGGGGGATATGGGGGATCATGCACTGTCCATAAATCCAATTAAATCCAAACAGGTCCAAACAGTCTCTCAGAGAAGGGTCTTGTCCCAAGACCGATCTTCATGGTATGCTGGTGAAATTCGCTGGAATGTTGATGGACCATCCAACACAGCTCACCTACCATCCGACCAGCATGTTTCATCCGTCTTTTCCGAACAGCGTGGTTGACAGGAACCAATCAAGAGAGACAACCACAAAAGCATACTCAACATACTGTATACCTTTAGTCATTGGTCTTCTTGCTAATATTGCAAACCATCCAAACGACAGGTTGTTGTGAGATTTTGGGGACCTGGAGATCTAGCGGGAGGGGAAATCGCGGTATCTCCCAACACTGACAAAAAAAACACCTGATGGACTGTGGGATGGCTCGGTTCAGGGCAGCGCTACATCACGCACCTTCTCACTTCGAGCCATGACCCTGAAGTGGTCCGCATTGGCAAGGCAGGGAGCATTCAAAAAATATCAAAATTTACACGTCGAAGTATGGATTGACATAGATTACATCCACACAAAGGAAGGACTGATGCTCTGAATGAAGAGGTTGGGGGTTGCCAAAGGCAATGAGGTGGACATTCTGTGGAAGGATCAAGTAGCCGCGGATGACATTTTTTAGGCAACTGTGTCGAAGAGGATGCAGGTTCAATACAGGTGATCGCCTCTGTGGCTTTCCCGGCTTCAAATTGTCTATCTTTGAAAAGCCCTTCACAGCCAAGACAAAGCATCTGCCAGCCTACAAGGCAGTTCAAAACCTAGAAGGGGTAGCACGTTTTGGTTGCTTTTTGTGTCAATTGCATGTGCCCAGAATCACCGATAGATGCCGGCCTTGCTGCATGTTGTATCGATGGTGTTCTCTTGTGGAACCATTGTTCCTGTTCTCGGCCTTGTTGGTGTCCCATTTCTTCTGACCCGTCCCAGCCATGCGTCGAGGCGGTATCATTTCAGGCTGGCGTCGGCACATGGGTTTGGGATGTACGCTATCTTTAAAGCGCAACCAAATGATGGGAGCATGGCAAGAAAGGAATAAGACAGGGTCCTCAGTTGTAGCCCATGTCTCCAGAGAAGGATTCGGGGTGCATCTTGAGATGCTTTGCACCATGCTGCACCAACAAAGTCCGATATGTCGATGTTGGAAAGCCCTAGTTCTGAAGTTCAGAGGTTGTATAAGTAGGTCCATACTTTGTTGGTTTGGTATTTCTTAGTCTGTGCAAAAATTTCTACTTCGACCGCGATGCATCCCAATGCACTAACTTCCCTGTTGTGTCATGACTTCTCCGTAGAAGTGGGCGCCATAGACAGATCCAACACTTTGGGCACGTGAAAGGGTCGAGAGTCGAAGAGTCAAGGTTCTCCAATATGACCATGACAAGATAGCCACAAGACATCAGAAGTAGGTGGCACAATACCCACAGCTTTACCCCATGTCATGAAGACAAAGGGCACGATCGTAGGAGTGCGGCAGAACTACCTGTGGTTTATGTACATATTGTAAAACGAAAAGACAAAATTGAGAACAAAAGAAACCTAGTAGCGATGGCCTCTAACCTAACCTGTTGTTTATGTATACGGAACAAGGGCTTTGCATAAGGCGCGCTTATGCCTTTCCATGGACTGGCGATTTTGATGTGAGTTCCTGGTCTGGCAATGATCGGTTTTGTTGGAGCCATTGTATGACAGTTTATGATAAACCACAAAACTTGGTTTTTAGCAAGCTTTAGCTCAGGTGTTGACTTCGGTGGTCAAATCAGAAATGCTAGGACATCGAGGCCGAGATTACGAAGGAGGAGGAAAAGGACGAGAAGGCCTGACTGGTGGCGGCGGCAATTCTGGACTATGGTCAAAACTTTTGGATCCAAGCGCGAGATATTTTAGTAACAAGAGCATCACTACTAGTAACAAGAAGCTACTAGGGGCTCCTGGCCGTACTACTAGGACCAAGGACGCTACTAGGGGCTCCTGGCCTTACTACTAGGAACAAGAAGCTACTAGGAACAAGAAGCTACCAGGAGCTTTCGCTAGTAGTAAGGCTGCGTTTAAATCTCGCACCACCCAAGTGATTTGGGATGGACCTCGGGGTGCTTTTCGATGGGAGCGCCACCTGAATGGCAGCTGGCTTCGGTTGGACACGGTTGAGGGTTTTTGGTGTCCAAGTCTTTGAGGGATTTGTTGCAAGCACTTGAGACTCTACACATCTCTAGACCACTACTGGTAGATGTGCGATGATTTGATAGAGGAACCGCTGGGGTGGGAAGTTCAAGGTCATTTCCTTATATTGTTGTCAATTGTTGTATCGTTATTTGTGTTGTATGAGCTCAATCACACTTTGTTTGTTTGAGTTTAAATCAACGATTCATTATGTGATCTCAATTCAGCAGCTGGAGCAATCTTGACTGTCTATGGTGCTTTGTTAGTAAGGCAACCGGAGTCAGCAGCTCGAATGTCCTCCCTCTGAGTTTCTTTGGAATCTTGGTTGATTTTTTGGTGCTTCAGGTCCACTTTCTTTCTGGTAGCTTTGCTCGTCCCATTTCTGCCCCTCGAGGTCTTGGGGCCTGTCGAGAGCTGTTTTCAAGCGGAGGACCCAAGAACCCGGCGAATAAGACGCATTTCACGATGATTTGCATATCAAAGGACCAATGGCAGGTTGAGATGCCAACATGACGGTGCCATGACCCACCATGAGCTAGAGTTGGATGTTCTTGGATGCATGATGATTCATGCATTATGCATGTTTGAGAGGACTGTCGTGCAGTGTGCTCATGATTGTGGCTTTTATTAAGAAATATAGTGTTCACAGATTATGTTGAACCGACCAGTGTCGTGATCACGACTCCAAAAGCTGTGAGACTGATTGGTTCTCATGAGGAAGATGAGGATGAGGATGAAGTTGATTTTCGCACCGTCATGCAGCCCAA